GTGGGGGCGTAGTGGTATATTCTATATATGGTAGCTAGGTGGATAAATAATGGTCCGTGGGCGCTTGAGACTTGTGGCGCGGAAAAACCGTGACAGTACCCCCCCTCCAGGCCGAAGTGTCCTCACGAGGCTTGAATTCTAGTCGTAGATGCGTGGGTGTACGGCTTGTAGGTTCCATTTGGTTTTGGGTATTGGTGTCCGAGTACGCTCCGGGTCATACGTGGTATATTTGGAGACGTCTTCTTCCTTCACCGGGGTATCCTTGAAACGCATACGTTGCCAGGGTATTGGTGCATCGTCGAGATAATAATAGCCGTGAGTGCGCTCCGGGCACTGGACTCTTCCTTCGTCTACGATCCACTGGGCGTTGACTGGGTATACAAATAGATGGTTGCGCGACTTGGGGGTTCCTACGAACAAGACCGTGTGGATATAGTGGTCTGGGTTCGCTAGCCAGATGCAAACGATGTCGAACTTTTCGGGTAGCCCTATTTCTAGGCCGATTTGGGTATTGAGGGGTACGTGAAGTACGACATGGGCTTGGAACTTGCGCTTATACCATCGTATCATTTTGTGATCCCAGTAGATCTTCTCCTTCCATTCTTCTCCTTCTTCCTCCGTCATCTTTCCTCCCTTACTGTCAGGTTCATCGTCGACGTCTTCGTCGTCTTGAGCACGGATCCTTTGACCACCGGGTATAGTGAGGAGATTAGGCGGTTTGGGCGCCTTGGGGTGTAACTTATGGAAGTTATTAAGTAGTAGGATGTAGTCCTTTGCTATGGTAGAGCGGGGTATCCAAGTGTTCTCGGTGTCGTCCTTCCCCTTCCATTTGACCAGGTATAATAGTCCAGTTTTGGACTTTTTGCTGTCAAGGATTTGGCTAATGGTAGGGGCTTCGCCTTCCGGAACGGGTATAGTATTATCGTCCTTTTGTACACTAAATTGTGCAGGGTGGTAGGGTATTAATAAGGACTCGTGGAAGACGGGGTGTATATGGCGCCAAGCGGGTGGTAGCTTGAGCCTGAATGCCGACTTCCCGACCTTTTCTACTACACTAAATGGTCCGTAACGTTTATCGTCCAGCTTCTTGCTTGGTCGAGTGGTCGTAATATTAGTTCCTTCTAGTAGTACCAGATCGCCCTTGGTATATGCCGCATGGTCCGGGTATTTGCCATCGTGGTACTTCTTCATTATACCTTTCGCTTTGGTAAGATGATTAGTCGCGTCCTTGGAAAGTTCCTCCATCTCTTTCGTCCATTCTTCGGCTGATTGGTTACGGGGTTCTTTCCTGGTTTCGACTCCCGTATAGGGATGGTATCCGTGCATAAGGTAGAATGGGGTATAGCCGGTGCTTGCCTGTCTATGATTTCGGTATGCGAACATAGCGAGTGGTATCTTGGAAGGCCAGTCGTCCTGTCTATAGGAGGTATATATCCTCAAGTAGGTTTCTATTTCCTGGTTCATTCGTTCCGTCTGCCCATCCGTCTGAGGGTGGTAGGCAGTAGAAGGATTTCCCTGGATGCCCAACTGTTGGTATACATCCTTGGTAAACGAGGATACGAACTGTGGTCCCCTGTCGGACCATATCCTTTCTGCTAGTCCGTGTGCCGACATTACATGTTGAATGTACAGGTCCGCATAGTCCTTCGAGTTAATCGACTCCGTGCAGGGTATAGCGATGAAGTCTTTTGACTTCAAGTCTACAAATACAAGGATGGAGTCGTACCCGTCTACGGTTGGTAGTTTTACAATAAGGTCCGTGGAGATGTACTGCCAGTTGTGGTCCGGAACTGGGTTTGGCTCTAATGGTGCTGATCGATGTTGGCGGTTAGGTTTGGCCTTTTGACAGGTCCCACAACCTTTCACATACGCTGTAACATCCTTGATCATCTCCGGCCACCAGTACGATCGCTTAATTAGTTCCATGGTCCTTTCTATTCCTGGGTGTCCCATGAACGCGGCATCGTGGTGGGACTGTATTACTTTGCCGATTATTTCTTGGTTATTTGGAATTATGAGAATTTCACCCCCCCTCCAGAGTGTGCCGTCCTCGGCTGACTCGAGCTCCTTTTGAGGCAAAGTTTTCCATAATAAATATTCAGAAGAATGTATGGCGCAGAGGTCTCGGATGGCGTCTGTCCCTACAACTTTGGTGCTTCGGAATAACTCGGCAGGTAATACGACCTGATTATCCAAGTGATCCATACCGTCGTCGTAGTCTGGTCGTCTGCTAAGAGCGTCTGCTGCGCTGTTTTTCTTGCCTGGGATATGATGGAGTTCGAAATCGTATTCAGCGAGGAAAGACATCCATCGTGCTTGACGGGGGTTGATTTTCTGAGGCTTCCTAAAGTATGTCAGATTAAGGTGATCAGTGAAGATCTGTACAGTATGTTTGGCGTGTATTAAGTAGTGTCGCCACTCTTCTAGACAATCTACAATGGCGAGAAGTTCTCTATCGTACACTTGATAGTTCTTCTCGGCGTCCTTGAACGACCTACTGTAATACGATACTGGTACCCAAAGATTATCTTGCTTCTGCATAAGAACTGCCCCGAGGGCGAATTGCGAAGCATCTACTTCTACCATAAATGGGTCCTCGTCCGTAGGTATGTGTACAATTGGGGCCGATGTGAGAAGGTCCTTGAGACCTTGGAAGGCACTTCGTTCAGTGTCCGTCCATTCCCATTCTCGGTTGCCCGTAAGGTCCGAAAGAGGCTTGGCCAAGGAGCCAAAGCCTTTTACAAAACGCCTATAATAATTACAAAATCCGAGGAACTGTTGAACGTCCTTCTTGGACCTGGGTTCTGGCCATTCGGCAATGCCAGCAACCTTTGCCGGATCCATGCGAAGTTTCCCATGGCCAATGATGTGACCAAGGTACTCAGTTTCTTCGACATGAAACTCGCACTTTTCAGGTTTGCACGTCAACTTGTGTTCCCGGAGTATTCTAAGTACTTGTTTTACAACCTGGCGATGCTCCTCCATGTCCTTGGTGAATATTAATATATCGTCCAGGTATACCATAACTTTTCCAGTGAGGATTAGATCATGGAAGATATCATTCATCATCATTTGGAACGTTGATGGTGAATTAGTGAGTCCGAAGAACATCACTAGAGGTTCGAACAGACCTCGGTTCGTGACGAACGCGGCCTTTTCCTCGTCTCCTTCCTTGATCCTTATGTTATTATAGCCCCACCGGATGTCGAGCTTAGAGTAGTACCGGGCTCCCTTAAGCCGGTCGAATAGGTCATTAATTAGGGGGAGCGGGTATTTATTTTTCTTGGTGACTTCGTTGAGCCGTCTATAGTCCTGAACCGGCCTTAACTTGCCATCCTTTTTCTTAACAAAGAAGAAGGGGGCGCCCCAGGGGGATTTAGACTGTCTTATGCGACCAGTCTTAAGGTTTTCTTCAAGGAATATATCCAGAGCTTCTTGTTCCTTTACGCTCATTGGATATACTTTCCCGCAGAAAGGTTTCGCACCGTCTACTAATTCTATGGCGTGATCCCATACTCTGCGTTCGGGGAGCTGATCGAACTCAGCTTCCTCGAAGACTTCCTTATAATCCCAGTATTCTTCTGGAACTACCTCTTGCATGCTCTTGGCTTTAGTACTCTTGCCTTGAGCGATGGCTAGGTCGGTGGCCTTGGTGGCTCGTATGTGTTCATATTCGGAAAACTGCTTCCGAATGTAGTCGCTGTCCAATGCCAGCACCTTATCCCCTTTTTCCAACTTAAGCTCCCCGCAGTTACAACGCGTGAAGCGAAGCGTGCGTTTAGCCCAGTCGATGTCAGGGTTGTGATCTTCTAACCAATCGAACCCGAGGAACATATCGTGGTCCGAAAGGGTAGTCACATTGAATGATCGGCGCTCTCTATGGCCTTGGATAACTATGTCTAGTAATACATAATGGGTCATATCGCCATCTCGGTTGGGGGTCCCATCTGCGTTGAATACGCGGAGTGGTCGATCGAACGGTATCTTAGGTATCTGGAACTTAGATACGAATTGTTCGTCGATGCAGCACCCGGTGCAACCTGAATCTAGAAGGGCTTTGGCGGGTATATTCCTATCCCCAACTTCTATTGTTACTGGTATATCGATCTGGCGATGTCGTCGTACTGCTCGGACGTTGAATTGCCCTCGCAGTTTAGTACCGGTCGATCCGAATCCAGCAGTCCCTCTTGCTGTTTCTGCTATTTCCGTCACGACTTCGGTGATTGGGGTATCGTTACGTTCCAAGATCAGCTGGGCGACTCGGTCCCCATACTCAATCTGGAACGGGGTATCAAGGGTATTGATTAGGAGTATTTTGACTCGACCGACATAGTCAGAGTCTATTACTCCGGCTCCTACATCTATTCCATGTTTTACAGCCAGACCTGAGCGTGGAGCGATGCGTCCGTAGCATCCGCTGGGTATTATCAACTTCAGGCCGGTATCTACGAGGAGACGGGAGCGTCCGGGAATGACCACTTCCTCTGCTGAGTGCAGATCGTACCCGGCTGCGCCTTCTGTTTGGCGAGTGGGCACGATGGCTTGCGGATGGTCTAAGAATACACGCAAAGTGGTTTTCTGTGCCTTCTTCTTCGGTGTACGCCTTGCCGATGTTGAAGCTTCCACTTGCAAACTGTCCGTGTCCTGAACTGAAGAAAAGTTAGAAATTGAGCTATTCACGGAATTAAGCACCGATGCTTTTTGATCCGGCCGAGCTCGATCAGGCACCACTAAGGTCCCGTCATCCCGAGACCCCGTTTTCGCTCCTACTACTGTTACATTAGAGTGGGCACCACTACTTGTACCCATATTGTCCGACGTAGTGCTAGAAGTACAGTTGAGAGTAGAAAGGATAGAAAATCGAGATCCATCAGGGAGTGGTGGTGTGCTGTCGTCTGCATCAGGGGTACTGAATTTTCCCTTTCCTGAGCTTAGACCCTCCTGCCCACATCCCTCCAGGGTGTTTTCAGGTACGGCTTGATGGCGCTTCTCAGGCTTTGCCTCCACCACCATCAGCTCGACTCTCCCTGGGGACCTACCTTTTGGTGACCCGTCTAAACCATGGCCCTTCTCAGGTCTCACGACCTCCGTGACCATGGAATGGCCGTTAATGGTCAGGGGTGACCCGTGTAAATCAGGGCGCTTCTCAGGCTTTTGGGCCTCCACCACCGAGGAATGCATGTTACTGGTCGGGGAAATTGAAGTGTCCGGTTCGAGTCGTGAGTCCTGCAAGACTTGCGTACTTAAGCCTTGCCGAATTGAAAACCCGCCTGGTTGAGCAGAGCGGGGTTGGCCGCGATGGCCGCCTTGAATGCTCGTACGGCCTCGGTTTCTTCTACCGTACTGGCCCGAGCTGCAGGCTGGGCATCCTTTTTGCGCCAGCACTGCGCCTTTCCGTCGTAATAATGGGTGTGCCATATATCCGTGCACGACCCCTTTTCCGACCTTTCCTTCCCGCAGGTACCACACTTCCGGTGCTTGTCGCGTTCATTTTCGACGCCTACCGTTTCCTTGTGCGGCACTGCCTTTCCTGCCTCATCGAGGTTTCTGATGGGCGCCCTTCCCGTTGTCCTGACCGCGTTGACCGTTGCCGTTGTCGAACCTTCCTCCTGGTGGACTTGTCGGGTTTTGGAGTCCTTGGCTTTCCCCTTGCCCTTTCGGTCCTCGAAGGTGGATGCCCACTGCTGCTGCTGTTGAAGGTCCAGCCGGGCTGCAACCTGTTTCCACAGGCTGTAGCTATTTACATCCCGGCTAATCCCTTCGGATGCCCATACTCTGTCGCATAGTTCTTTTCTCATGGCATTCCTAAGTAATTGGAGCAGCAGCTGCTCATCCTTGTACCCCGAGACCTTGACCCAATGTTCCCATTCGGCCTCGAATTCCTCCCAAGGCTTATACCTTTGCTGCATATTTCGCAGCATTCGCTGACCTTCCAGCTCCGGATTCGCGGGGTAATACATCTTTTTGAAGTCCGCGATGAAGTCCTGGAGCGTGGCGTATACCGGGGGGCCCCCCATCATTCTTTCTAATAGGGAGGCCTTCCAGTGGTCGATTTGTGGTCCGCGGATATAAGACATTGCCCAGCGAATTTTACTTTGTTCGTCTTCGAATTCGCTGGGTTTCATGACGATGTAGTTCATTACATCGACCAGCCATGCCTTTGCCTTTGCCTTGGTGCCATCGAATGGCTCCGGGAGATTGACCTTTGGTCCTCAGAACGACTTTCTGTGTACTTCGTCCGAGGATGCCGGTGGCGGGGCTGCAGAGCGACGACTTCGATCCGGTGGTGGGACCGGTTGCTCTGGTGGGAATGCATAGTGTGCCCCCGCCAACTCGTCATCTTGGTCTCCCTCGTAGGAGTGTGCCGGGGACATTGGGGGCGTCTGCACCCTAGAGGGCGGCTGCTCAGGGTTTGCCTGGTGTGCCGGTTTGAGCCCACTAGGGCCGGCGGTTCCGCCGACTCCTCTTACCCAATCCCGAATATCCTGTTGCCCTGGATCCTGTCTGCGCTTGCCCTTGTCGACCGGTTTCTTGGGTGATCGAATAGGGGAAGGCGGTGGTGGGCGCGTCATGGCTTCCAGGAGGTGGATTCGGGTTTCTTGGGTCTTGTTGATGCCCTCCAGACCCGTCGCCCTTTCCTCGCTGGATTTGAGTGCTCTTTTTAAGGCTTCCAGTTCCGTGTTTAGCTTGTGGATCTGGTTGCCGCGCTCTATTCGTGAAGCCTCGTATTCGCCCACCTGCCTCATGAGACGGTCTCGGGTTGCTTCGGCAGCCAGGCGTCCTTCCCGTGCTTCTGCTACCTCTCTTCGTGCGACGTCGAGCCGACTACGCAGTCGGTTGTAGTCGTTTTGGAGATGCTGGTAAGCACGCCTCATATCCGTTGGCTGGGTCCAGAATCCCGGCGTTTCTTCTGTCGGAGGGGGAAGACCAGGTCGTGCCAGGTAGTAACTCTGCCTATTGTCGGGGAGCCTATATCGCTCATACCCTGGCGGAGTTCCTGAAGCGTGGCTCGACCAGACGTAGTCTTGTCCCCTCGCTGCTCCTCCGTGCCTCGCCACCACATCTACCGGTTGTGTCCGGTATCGCTGTCGATCTTCTTCAGAATGATCTCGAGCTCGGATGTCGTACTCCCATTGATGAAAGCGTCTCCCTGTCCTTGGTTCGTTTGGGTACAGGGTGGCGAATTCGTCTGCCAGCCTTGCCGAAGGCCCCCTTCTTCTGGGAAGCGCTTCCAGCATTGCCGGCGTCATGAAGTATCGTGGAGTGGGAGCGAGTATGTTGGTGTCGTTGAATGATGACGGAGGGGATGCTCTGGGATCTGGACCTTCGGGATTCAAGTGTCCTTCTACGGAGTGTTCGGATTGTGCGATTTCGGCCATCTTCAGTGCTGGTACCTGGTCGGGGTTTTGGCGACCTGTTCAGAAAGGTTCTTCTTCGTCGGAGGAGATACCGTATTCCTCGTCGAACAGGAGATGATATAGTTCCTGGTCGTCTTCGACTGGTTCGAGCTGTCTGGGAGCTTCTTGGATTATACGATGTGGCTGGTATTCGAGCCTTTCGTAGTAATCGATGACGACTTGGTAGCGGTATAGGATAAAACGAGCCTGGGCGACGTGTGGTTGGTAGATGAAGTCTGCCCGGAATATGACACTGATGTGCTCGTAAACTTGGTCCCACTCTACTGGTCCTGGAGATACGGTGTATATGGATGTATATCCTTCCAACGAGAACCTTTGCATTCGATGTTGTTATCTACTCGCGTGCTTGACGAGTTGTTCTTCACTAGGCCTCGTAATGACCCAGACGCAGCTTTAGAGTCCTGCTACTCCTAGTAGGTCTAGTTACTACGGAGTCCTGAATGGTGCGGTTCGCAGTCGCAGAGGGGTCTTTGTGGTCTTTGATTATTTCACCACCAGTGTCCAACTACCTCTGAAGGGATGTAACCTTGGTCCGCCTGCCGTTCCAGCAGAGCTTTCCGAGAGTTCGTCCCACACCAGACGACTATTTGTCTACGTATGTATTGGTAACTAAACCCCTAAGTAAGTCAGGACTGCGCAGGGGTTGAATACGCGTCTGGTGCCTCTTTAGCACTGAGCAAGTAGGTTTATTCCCTCGCTACTCGAGGTTATGCAGGTCTCGCCGAAGCGGTCCAGAAGTGTTGCTGATTTACAGCTTCAGGGCCTTTTCACAGGTGTTTCGTTCCTCCCGCAAGTTCTCCCTTGTCTGCGGTTGTTACGTCTGCTACCCCTAGACCTGGTGGCTAGGATGGCGACGTTAGAGGATAAATCCTCCGTATAGCACGGCAGCTAGGCCGAGGATAGTTTTTATGGACTAGCAGCCCCACGCTTCAATGTCACGCCTCTACGGGGTCTATGGGCCCGACAGTAGCCGAACCAGACAGAGTCCCCGACGGATTAGCCAATGATAGTGGTACCCTTTTAAGGAGTACTGCGTCCCTTGCTCCTAGTGGTGCTGACGTCAACAGGCACTCCTGGCCCTTCTTGACAGCCCTAATGCGGTTTTAACCACTAGGTTTTAACTGGCAAGTCCCCTTACGCCTGGGGTCGCGGCAGAGTTTGGGACTGTAGTATGTCGCCCACTTTCGCAGGAGGCTGGTTTAGGGCCTGTGTATCCTGACTAACAATCCGCGTATTCGCTTCACCGAAGAGGTTCAGCAGGGCGCAGCTAAGCCCGAGGAATGTGGAACGAAGCCCTGACTGGGCACGATGAGGATGGAGTTTGATCGACAGAGGTATACAATCTGAGGCGTCGACCGGTGCCCACAGATCTAAGAGAGCAGTTTCGAGTTATGTGATGGATCTCAGGAACTCCTGGGTCCGCTCTCGCCTATCCCGTCAGGGATCTCTAGCTTAAGTGGAGGAGTAAAGACCAACTCGAAACTGAG